AGTTAACTTGACTCAACTGAAAATTCATAAACTGAGGGCAGAGCTGATAAAAGGAGCGAAAATCTAGATGTTGAGATGTAATATTGTATTTTGTGATTTTACTAAAGGAGAAGAAAACTGGACAATTTCCTCTAGAAATTTTTTGATATGTTTCTCCCACAAAATTGGGAAAAAAATAATTGCCTCCTATGCACGCATTTCGTTATGCCTTAGGAGCAATTTCAACAAATTCAAGTTGCTTTGTTGGCAAATTTGAAATTGCAAAAAGTCAGGAGGAGATGGTTGAARAGCAGGGGTGCAAGCAAGGGAAGGACAGGCTTGGATTAGCACGGAGCAGCCGGGATGCCGGGGCCTGAGAGTTTATTTAGAGAGCTGCAAACTATTGCCCTGGATAATATATGCACATGGAAGTTTCTGGTGTTGACGATGATCGCATTGCACCATTTGTGCTCTTTTTTTCCCGAAGAAAACAGTAATTGGATTACACAAAAGCTCCACAAAGTGCAAGTAACCGGCGGAATGAGGAGCGCGGGGGCCGTGCGCAGGCAGCGCCGTGCCRGGGAGCGCCGCGAATTTTAATTCAGAAAATGTTGTGACATTGCAAAGGAAACCAGGGCTCCTGCCTTCAAGGGAAGCGTGCGAGCTCTCATCATGCATAGGAAATATACTGCAAGGCAGACTTGCTTTTTTCAGGATCTATTTTGGCAAGGGAGATGATCAGTATATATAAAGTGTGCACGTGTGCACGTGCTCGTGTGAGTGTGAAGGGCTGCAGTGCATCTGAGTGTGTGAGCAGGCAAGTACGCGGGGGCACGAGCCGCATGCCTGAGCACAGGGAGGCCCGTGGACACCTGAGTAGGTGGATGTCCATGCACGCAAGTAGGTAAAAGCACATATATATAAGTAGATAAAAATGCAGATACACGAGCACATGGATGCGGACGTATATGAGAGGATGGATATCGAGTATATGGATGCACACATAGATGAGTACATGGATGCACATATGCACAAGCAGATGGATGCACACGTGTGACTAGATGGTTGCACATACACATGAGTGTATGCAYGCATGCATGAGTATATGAATATGAACATATATGAGAGGTTGGAATGTATATGGGAGGATGGTTGCACACATACATGCGTAGATGGATGTCCATGTACACAAATAGATGGATACGCACTTACATGAGCACAGGGATGCACACATATATGGGAGAAWGGTTGCACACACCCATGAGTGCATGGATGCACACAAGTAGGTAGATGCACATATACCCCAGTAGGCAGATGTATACATAGATCAGTAAATGGATACCCATATGCACAAGTAGWTAGGTGCACACGTGTGRCTAGATGGTTGCACATACACACGAGTAGATGGATGCCCATGTATGCACACAAATATGAGAGGATAGGGGCATATGTAGACAAATGTATGGGTGCACATATTGTGCAAAGCCGCAAAGCCGCCGTTTAAGGCAAAACGGCAAGAAGAGGTCAAAAAAAAACAACAAAAAAAAGCAAATTAAAAAAAAAAAAGAAAGCAAACCCCTTTGTCAGCAACAACAAAAAAAGGCCTTCTCTGAGAGATTTTTCCCTCCTCTGTGCTTGCAGAGGCTTTGGGACTGCAGCTTTCAAGGTCATTTACCTTTAGTCAAAATTAACGTTGCATTAGGAGAAAAAGGCAGCATTCTGTAATGCTCTAATCTCACCTCTTTTTCTGATAGAAGATAAATACCATAATATATTTAAATCTATTTTCTACTTCTTAGGTCTCAAACAGAAATTTGAGTGAAGCAGTAGCTTGCATTCCTGTGATTTTCATTCAAGAAGCAGAACTCGAGGTTCGCAATGGAAACTACCTTTGCTTTTTCCAGCAAGGATAGTTCAATATCCACATGGGTGTCATTTACTATTAGGAAATGCCTTTTTTTTTTTTTTCCTCTTTTTCGTTGCTCCCTCCGCACCAAGCTTTAATTCTGTGCTCAGTTACCCAAGTTAGGGAGGCAGAACTCGGTAGCCGGTGACTTATTTTGCCCGTTACTGGGAACGCTGCCGGGGCTGTGCCAGCCTGGCATTGCACACGGATGTTGCTATATTGCATTTATTCCCTTGTGCATCCTTCCTGGCTCCAAGGCTGAGCCCCGCGGGCTGCCCGGGGCTTTGTGTGCTTTGTGCGCGCCGAGCTGGGCAGCACAGCGGCTGCCACCCTATGGAAAACATATCCTCGCCCTAAAGCCCTGCCCAAAGCCTAGCGSGGAGCTTGGGCCGTGTGCTCACGTGGAGCTGGGATGCCGTTTCCTGATGGTCAGTGGGAAGGTGGCGGTGCCCGTCGGAGCGCGTGGCACCGCGCTTGGCAGCCGCCCGCTCGCTCTTTGTGCGGGGCCGCGCGCCGCTCCCGGGCACTGGCTGCCCATTGTTCTCCCCAGCAGCATCTCCCAACAACGACGCACGTACACATGTCATTTATATATATGTAGATCATATATTTCTATATTTTTTATATCTTTATAAATATAATCTATTTATTTATGGCYGGCGTGTTCCGCAAGCTCCCCGGGAATGCCCCAAACCTCCTCGATCTGCTGCCTTGCACAAACGCCTCTCTATCTGCAATCACACAAAGGAGGGATTTTTCCTGTTTTTTTTTTTTTTGTTGTTGATTTTCTTTTTTTGTTTTGGTTTGCTTATTTTCCAAGAGGGACCAAAGGAATTAGTCCGTGCCAGTTACGACGACGAAAGTTTTTGCGATAACGCAGAAATAAAGCGGCCTCAGCCGTGGGCAACCAGCCCGCTGTCCGCCTGGGCGGAATTGCTGGGTAGAAAATTCCATCGGGTAGAAAATCCCGGGTGCAAAGAGCCCCCAGGTGCCTGGGCGGGCCGTGTCCCGTGCAGAGCGTCGCCTGCACCGCTCGGCCCTTGCAAAGCGCAACTGGTGGCACGGGCAGCCCCGGGTGGCGGGATGGGCTGCACGAGCTGCTCCCGCCGCGGCCCCGGCGAGCGCAGCGGCGCGAGCCTGGGCTGCTTGCTCCCGCAGAAACCTCTGCCTCTCTTTATAGAGGAAAATGTTTGGATGAGAAAACAAAAACAACATAGGGTATGTGTATGTTTTATGCTCCTAAAGTGAATCTTGTTTAAGCTAAAATAGTTTGCAAACGCTGTCTTATATGCATTTTTTTTTTTCTTAAATCAAATTAAATCTAGTAGCATGGATATAGGAATTTATACAGCTGATGGCTGTAAGTCTTTCAGACTACCCGACATATGGATAAACCAGGCACAGATTTAGCAGGTCTGTCTTTATGTTAAGATGTATACGTGATAAAAATATATGACTGAATAGAGTTTTTGTGGTTAGCACTGTTTCATTCTGAAACGCTCAGAGACATTCAATAAAATTACGTTTATTTTCAGAGGATATTCGCGATGAATGATAACCGTTTTTTTTTTCCCTCCCTCCCAAAGAGTTTTTTGCATATATTTCTTTGCCATTATGCAATAGGCTTGCAACCATTTTTGCCGGTGCAGGTGCTGTTTATTAAAAGCCGCGTAGTCATCGCAGGTGTATATTAGGCACGAGCTCAACGTAAAGACATCAGCAGCGAGCGCCCGGCGCTTTTGCATTTTGGACGTCCTTGCAATTCCTGCAAAGCCGCACGTCGGGAAAGGGTTTCCCCGGAGCGGCGCCGGCCGCTGCTCGGAGCCTCCGTTTTCCTTTTGCTCCTTCGGGGGGGAGAAAGACAAGAGAAGCAATATAGTTTTCTAGAATCAAAAGTTATCTGCGAATGTTTCTGGGAGCAGAGGAAAGGAGTAAGGATGTTTTAATTTCTGATTTTCCAGCTCATGGCTCATATTTGACCAACTGCTTTCAGGAGAAGACATGCCACTTTGTTGAGCTATTTAGGAATCAAAAAGACTGTCTTAATTTAAAACAAGGAGCCTTTGTCTTAGTTGGTGACTGCCTTGTGAAATTTTTCAGTTCTCAGCGGGTTAACCAGGGAACAGGGGCAGAGTCATAATTGGCCTATTTAGAGTATTTTGCATGTGAATAGTGTGTTAGTGAAGCATTACTAAGTCTGTTGTGAGTGACATGGTGATTAGAATTTAGATTAGGGAAAACACATTCTGTACTTTATCAAGTACAGTAATTAGTTCAGTCAGTAAAAGTTGATTACAAGTAACGATAAAGTTGGATTTTTGGGGCTTAATTTTAAAATTTCTTTATTAAATGGTAAATTTGTTCTTAATATAAATGGTGGCATCTACACCTGTTTTATTGCGTATCAGAATAATTAAAAGAACAATGTGCTCAGTGCAGAGTATAATCAGTGGGTTTATATATTGTGGGTAAGTTTCGGTGCAGTTTATAGCAAATAGAGCATTACTGAGGAAATGGATGGCCGGGCTCAGGCTCTCCAAGATCCCTGGCTTGGGGTCAGCTAATGCTCCCGGCTGGAGTGCGGACACCGCGGTCCCGGGAAATTCCGCAGTTCCGAGGAGGCAGCTTGTTAGCTGCTGGTAGGGGCAGAACGTGGACAGAGAGTCCACGGCGGCGGCTCTACAATAGCCTCGATTCTTTGGGGGCTTCCAAGGCTTTCATTTTTTCCCCACTAACTTTGCAAAAAAAAAAAAACAAAAACCACCCCAACAGCAGCGCCCAGTTTCATTGTGAGGCCCTAATTGCGCGCCGGGTTTTCGCCCRCTGGAACGTGAGGCGTTTAAGTGGCGGGCAGGACGGTCCCCTCGCGCGGGGCCGCACAATGCGCGCGGCCGGCGGCGCTCTCGGCAGCGGCCCCGTTCGCACGCTCCTTGCGCCTGCCAGACGGGACGCGTGCAGGGGCTCGCTGGCAGCGAGCGCGCGGGGTCCCCTCGGATGCAATCCGGCGCTCCCCAAGTTGGCAGAGCGCGGCCGGGGCCGCGGCGCGCCGGCGGGTGCCGGGGGGTGCCGGGGGGCAGCGCGGGCGCCGCCGCAGCTCCGCGTTGTGCTCTCGCAGCAGGGCCTCCTGGGCGCCGACATGGAGCTGGGCGCTGCCGGCGCGCTCTCGCCCTCCAAGCCCGCCTCCCAGTACTACCAGTACGGCAGCAATAACCCCCGCCGGCGGCCCCTGCACGGCAGCGCCATGGGTGAGTGTCGCGCGCGGGGCCCTCGCGGACAAGCCCCCAAAAACGCCCCCAACACCCCCCTCTTTGCAGTTATTTTATTCAATTTTATTGATTTTCTCATCATTCCCCCCAAAGCAAAGGCATGCAGAGGGAAGACGCGGGTGCGCAGGGGCGCGTTGCGGGCGGCCGAGGGTGCCCGGGCAGGGCTGGGCGCGCGGGCACCATCCCGTCCCGCCAGCAGCTCACTCCTCTGCCCTGTCTTCTCTCTGTGTTTTCCCCCCTTTCTCCTTGCAGAAGTACAAACAAAGAAAGTCCGCAAAGTTCCTCCGGGTTTGCCGTCCTCCGTAAGTAGCGCCCGCGCGCCCGGCGCCGACGGGGATGCGTCCGGGCGGGATTCGCGCGGGACGCGGGGCCGGCACCGCCAGCCGCGTGTGCGCGGGGCCGGCTGTCAACCAGTGGCATCCAGCTGTGCCCACGGGCACGACGGGCGATTCCAGGGAATTCCACGAAGGGATGATAGCGCTGGTAATTACCGCGGCCTTGCCCGGATGGGCCGCGCGATATCGCCGCGTCTTTGTGCGCAGCCACGTGGATGCCGTCCAGAGAAGTGGGATTTCTTTTCTTTTCTTTTTTTCTCCCCACGTTAGCCTGCAATCTGGGCACTGCGCRGGCCGAACTTGGCGCTGCCGTTTGGTTCGGCAAAGCCCTTTGTTTTGTGGTGCAAACGGGTTTTCTGTCGTTTTTCCTCTTTTTTTTTCAGTAATTGTGTAAAATCTTTGTGTGGTGCAAACAGTTATTCTGCTATTTTTCCTCTTTTATGGTAGTTGTACAAAATCTTTGTGTTTTTTTTTTTCTGGAAAAGCTTCATCATGGTATATTGCATCTTCTAAGAGAAGGCTGTTTAAAATTCCTTAAAATGCATTAAAAAGCCAAATAGTTTTCGAAAGAAATAATACGGCATTTTAGTAAAAAATCCTGTAATTATTAATATGACTGCAGTTGCATTTCATTTTATTTTATTCTAACTTTGCTTCCACTGTTACTTTAAAAATGCACTACATATATTTTAATATTATTATCTGCGAGCAGAAAGCAAAACACTCCAGAAGGGGCAACTTTCTTTTCATACCTGGCAACTCTATGTGTTTTATCTATAAATCTGGTTATTAGGCGGAGCTGAGTGCTAATCAATCTTGTGGAATACATGAACAAAATTGACATGTTAATCTCAGAGGGGTTTTCTGTTTTTCCCATAAATCCAAGTAAATTTGCAGTTTGCAAACTCGCATACTTTTAGAGCTTCACTTGTGCTGGTAAATGTGCTAAACGCTAGTTTCACTCCTAATCTTTTGTAAATAATAAGATGATAATCTGAAAGTGAAAAACGCCTAGGAAGAGCGAGATTTAATTGAGCAGATTACCCTAATATCCGCGGCATTAGAGAAATGCAAGCGCAAATCTTTCTGCAAGGTCTTGCAAGGTGGAAATGCCCAAACGGAAGTTGCTGGTAAAGCAAGAACACTAGGATTTTTAATTAAAAAGAAGTTCCCACCTGCGCACGTTAAATTTCTTCCAGGGTGTGTTTTTGGTTGGGGCTTTTATTGGGCTGCTTTGCAGCGACAGCTAATATCCCCCCGCGGGTTTTTATGAGCGCCGTCATGCTTGAAGTTAGAGGTGGGTTTAATTTAGGTGAAACTTTAGCTTTTAAGGGTTTTTACGACGCCTGCACGTGCTCTGTCCCCCGCAGCCCCGTGCGTTTGGCCGCAAGCCGTGCGGAGCAGAGATGATATCGGGGCAGCTCCGGACCCGCCAAGCCAGAGCTGCCCGAAGCATCTGGGTCCCCTGCATTTAGGCCTGCCCAGGAAACCACTTGCTGACGGGTTCAAATATTTCCCCGTGGACGGTTTCAAATATTTCCCCAGAAATATTTGCTCGGGGTGGTTTTGCGTCCGCGGTGCGAAAGATGCTTTCGGCAGCAACAGCAACGTGGTACCCGCTGGGATAGGGTGAGAGCCTCGGCCTGGGAAGCATCAGCCTCCTGCACTTCCAAACGGCTGCACGAGTTTGTCCTTTTTGTGGGTTTTCTTCCCTTTTTTTTTTTTGTTTTTTTTTTAAACGGCCATCTTTTGCTTCAATAGAATAAAACACAATTTATGTTTCTCCTAGATTAGCCTCAAATGGGCACTTCCTCTGATTTTTTTTTTTTTTTTTTTTCCAAATTCGATTGCTATGCAGAACTCAAATGCTTAGGCAGCTCCGTGCCCTAATTTGGGAGTATTTTTAATTTTTCTCAAAGTTTTCCCAAAGTTGAGGATACCCTTTAAACGCTTGGTATAATTTTAACGAGCTGCGYGATTTGTAAGAAAGGAAAATATAAAAAGCCTCTTCCCTGAATATTTTACTCACCCTCAGTTCTCYYTTCCAAGGAGGAGTAAATTGGCACCCAAGGCCAGCAATGTGCCCACGAGAACGGCATGGGTCTGCGGGACGTGTAGCTGTTTTTACGGGTGCATATGGACGTGCACCTGGGCCTTGTTGTCTCCATGTACCTACCTTTTATTTAAACCCTGCCTTTTATTTAAAATCAAGCTGCTTTCGAGTGAGCACCTCAATGCTCTCATATCAAAAATGTCTCAAATGTGGAAATATATCCGGGAATAAGTCRTATTATCTTTAGGTGGTAGACTATGTTGCCTTGATCTAGCAGGATTTATTATGCTGAACAAAGTATATACATATACATTTATGAACTGACTAACTCGATTACAACGTACTTAGCTGATAGGGTGGAAATATTGCTATATTTCCCTTAAAATATGTATATTAACTTGTTCTCAATGTGATTTATGCGGTGGATATGGAGATTAATGCTGCCGTTTTGTGGAAGCAGTTATTGTTGATTAATTCCTAAGTAGCCTTATAAAAATTTCCATGATAAACGGTAACAAATACCTCGTATCAGCCCCCCTTTATTGTAAGGGCTGGCTCCGAGTTTTGAAAACGGCAAATTGAAGGGTGGGAATGATGGGGGTTTAGGAAGAGCCCTCGGGGCAGAGGCCGAGCGGGGCCGGGGCTGCGGACGCGGGCACTGCGGGACGCCCTTGGAAGGGTYGATCCCATGAGGAGCTCGCTTCCTGGCTTCCTTCCCTGGCTTCTGAGRATAGGGGCCAGGGGACGCTTACAGATTCACAGAATATTTAAGGTTGGAAGGGACCTCTASAGATCATCTAGTCCAACCCTCCTGCTCCAGCAGGSACACCYAGAGCATGTGGCACAGGGYGGCATCCAGGCRGGTTTTGAAGACCTCCAGAGWAGGAGACTCCACAACCTCCCTGGGCAGCCTGTTCCACKGCTCTGTCACCCTCACAGTGAAGAAGYTSCTCCTCACCTGGAGATGACTCCAGATGACTTAGCTGGGGTCCGTGAGGGTACCGGGGCGTCCAGCGGGTCCATCAGGGAGCAGCGAGTGTGACGGGCCCCAGCGTGGGGCTGTGGTGGAAGGAGAGGCTGTGGGGAYTGCAGGGGACTCCCAGGAGCACAAGTCGTGATGCCCCCTTTGAAGCTCATAGTGGTCCAGGCAGGCCTGTCCTGCTGGGGATGGAGGCAGCTCTGGTTCCACAATGCCCGGGGSGTGTTCTCCATCTTGGGGAGCTCCTGGCCGTGGCCAGGCCTTCCTGGTGGGTTGCTCTGCTCCTGTGTCTGCTCCATGACCGATGCTCTTCCTGTGGGCATGGTGAGCAGCTCTGAGCAGGGCTGTGACCTGGAGCCAAACTGGAACAACACCCTCATCTTCTGGTCTCTTCATTGCGGGGCTCTCTGCTCCATAGGATGGCAGCTGTTCGGTCCCTGTCGGTGCCAGCCTTGGGTGCCGGCCGGAATCCCATGTCCTGCCCATCCCTGGGTCACCTCCTGTGTGGAAGGAGAGCCCAGGGAGCGCCAGGGTGGGGAGGTGACCTCATGCGTGCAAGGAGGCGTCAAATGTCCCCTCAGGTGTGTGATAAGAGCAGCAAGGAGCTGAGGGATGAGCTGATTTTGGTGCAGGATGAGTGGACGGCTCTCCCGAGCCCGGGTTTCCTGGTGGGAGCGTCTCCCAGCTCCCCTTCCTCTTCAGCCAAGGTGTCCCCATGCAGATGCACGGTCCTTGCTCCCGCGTGCCCTTCGCCCTGCTCGCCTTGTGCCATCGGAGGGGAAGCAGGAGGCTCCATGGAGCATCCGCAGGGAACACCAGCCATCCGCAGGGAACACCGGCCATCCGCAGCCCCTGGGAGGGCACGCGGGGCCAGGATGGGCGCTTGGAGACGTGTCCCTAACAAATGATGCCGGAACCTGGGGCAGTTAAACACATGGCACGCTCAGCAGGGAGCTGCACCGCCCCGGGATGCTGCTCCGGGCGCAGGGAGACGCGGATGCGGCTGCAGACCCCATGCAAAGAGGGAGAAAAATGGCCTTGATCGCCCTGAAAAATAAGGAAAGGGAAAAGGACATGGGAAAGGAGCAGCGTGTTCCCGGGCGTGTTTCTTCCACGCGTTTTTCCTAGGCTGCATTAGAGGCTCGACCTGTTCTTGCCAGACTAGCGCCGTGGCGAGTGTGGAGGGCTTTGCTCCCGGGAAGGCGGCAGCCGGGGCGCTCGGGCGCGGGCAGGCGCGGGGTCCGGCCCGGGGGTTTCGCGCGAGCAGCGGCTCCCTCTTCGGAGCGGCGCGGGAAGTGCAGAGCGCGCCCCTGCGCCCGCCTGCCCCTGCTTGCACACACCGCTTTTCCCAAAAAACTCGGCGCCCCTTTTTCCTTTGGGGATCTATTTCGGCTGAATAGTGTTGCACGATGCCCATGAGAGCAAGGGGAGGCACAAGCGGGTTTGCATTTGGGGTAAGTGGGGACTGCGGTGCAGATGCAACACTGCAGTCGGGGGGGGTCATGAAAGCCTTGCATGCTTTTGCCTCCTGTGAGGATGGCTGAGAAAATGCAATATATGCTGTAAAAAATAGAGAAATAGATGGCAATTCCATGTCTAGCCCTCAATTGCTTTATACCCCTATGTAATTTGTAATTTTTTTTTTCAGTTTGGAATTAAGCTAAGTTTCAGGAGTCTAAACCTCAGCACTTATTTTTTTTTTCTGTTTGAACTTGGAGATAATTGTTAGCAAAAAGGTGTTTAAGAAAAAAAAAAAAGAAAATTATCTCTGCAAGAATTTGATTTAGGAGCTTTTCTTTAAATATGATCTGCAGATTGTTGTCATTACAAGCAGGGCAGCGATGAGTGCAGCTCAGCATTGAAGATAGAGGCATTGAAATGGCATCTTGCAGCAGCCCTCCCAAGGCTGGTGTGGGAGAGGTCGGCTTCGGTGGC